CCAGTCCCCATGTCACCCCTCCAGTGGTCAGAAGGCCTGGCCCATTACGCCGCCTCACGCGCCAACCTGTGTATCTACCAACACGACCCGGCCCGGAGATACGGCGAGAACCTCTACCGAACCTCCCGGACCGTCGATGACGTCACAGGCGCTGGGGCCGCCTCTGAAGCCTGGGGGGCGGAGCTCCATGACGTAGACTCGCAATGGGCATGCGCGTACGGTCGGACGTCCAGAACGTGTGGTCACTACTCCCAGCAGGTGTGGCGGACCACGAGTCACGTGGGCTGTGCTGTCCGGCGTTGTGCAGGGGGCACGCTGGTGGTCTGTGAGTACAGCCCGCGTGGAAACGTCATGGGCTATGACCGCACCACAGGACGCCTGGTCTTTACACCGCCCTACTAGACCACATCTACGTCCATTCACGCCACCACACGATACTCCCTGCCGAATGGAAGTCCGAACAGATTTGAACAACCTCCTTCAACTCATCGAATTATGTGGAACGGCAGCTCGCGACCGTGAAGGCTGGGGGGATCATTACACGTCAACCTCTGAGTCAGAGATGACACCCCCGGAAGCAGCTTCCCTTAATTAACCGTCAATTAGGTATCCTATGGAACATTATATATTCTCTTTGTTTGAGTAAAGCATTTATACATGTAATAACATTTTAACAACCCTTTTGTGTCACTTTTATTCTTGTCGTAGAGCTAGCTACTAGCTAGCTAGCTAGCTAGCTAGATAGATAGATAGATAGATAGATAGATAGATAGATAGATAGATAGATAGATAGATAGATAGATAGATAAATACGTAGATAGATAGATATATAGCATGAGAGACCGGGCTTGAGTATTAATTCTTACTCGGCAAGGATCAACTCTTAAAATAATTATTTACAATGTGGAACCTCCGACTTCAGAGTGAATCTCCTGTAGGACCAAAGGGGGGACATTTATATGATCTCATGCACAGTAGAATTGTAAAGTGTAAATTGGCTGATTCATCAATGTCATGCTCATAACTTTGCCTGAACTGCAACAGGGAACTGCTGCTTTTTCTTTCCTATTCCTTACTATCGTTATTTTTTCTCTACTTCTTTTGTATGTTTATCACACTCTTGTGACCCGTTATTTCCGGGGTGCCTTGATAGTCGAAGCAGACTTTGTGCGGTTGAAGCTAAAGGGGTGATCAGAGTAAGCCCGATTCTCTGTTAGGACTTTTCTGTTGACATCCACTCCTTGGCGCTCATATGATCTTATGCAGTTGCGAGCCCGGTAAAACCTCTACTGAAAAATATTTTAAAAAGGACCAAGAAAGTAGGCCGGGAGCCTTTAAAAAACCCTCAACAAACTTCCCAAGTCCAAGAACGCCCCTTTGGGGATTTGAACAAGGATTATCTGCGTCATTGTTCAGAATCATAACAGCTGAGCTAAAGGAAAAACCATGGTGTTTTAATGCGTACACGTGCACGCGTGTGCGTGTGTTTATGCTTGTGAATGTGTGTGTGTGTGTGTTTTGTGTGTGTGTGTGTGTGTGTGTGTGTGTGTTTTTGTGTGTGTGTGTGCGTGTGT